CGGACCCGCCCACACCTCCACCAGATTGGGGGGACACCCCGGGTGTCTCCCTCCCAATATATGGAATCATACACAACACCGTTTTGAAGTTAAACAAAAGCGAATGATAATAATTTACGTGTGTCTGATAAAACTTGTGCGTTTCTAGAAACGTTTACTCTTCTAATAATTAGCAATCATTAATAGCGTAAATCCCTTATTAGGCTGTTATTTTAATGAAGTCAATACTTAAACTTCTGTTTGGAAGCTTTTATGTACAGCTGAGATGGGGACACAAGTCACACCAGGGACATTTCTGAAGTTCAGTGGGATTTTTTGAGGCTGATTGATACTTTAGCGAAAGGACTCGAATTTCACCCTGTTATATTTCAAAGAAAGGAGAGTGTAGGTTGATCTTAACTCCAGTTCCTGGAGGAAATCAAAAAAAACCCACTAGATCACTAAGCTTTTTCAAAGGAAATGCAGAAACTGCTCCAAATTCTCCTAGGTTTTTTTAGAATTGAGAAGCAGGTGTGAGTAATTTAAGAGAAAGACTTGATGGTACTGAAACAATTCGAAGAGCAAAATTCATCAATCAGAGACGTTTTAGAGTTCAATATACTGGTTTTTCTACTAAAACAGACAAACCCAAATAGCCTCAAACTATATTTGTGCCATGTAACAATTTTATGATCTATTTTTCATATTTGCTTTGTTGAATATATGCTTTGTTTGCTTTGTATGAATGTTTGCTTTGTTTAATATATGCTTTGTTGAACATACTTAATTTTTTTTAAGTTGCATTGGAGTTCTTTCCCCATCCTATTTGGTGAGTTTTAGAGATAGTAGATATTTTCTCTTTTGAAATATATTATAAAGTACACAAGGAATTTGGCAGTGCTGGGTTAATGGCTGGACTTGATGATCTTAAAGGTCTCTTCCAGCCATTATGATTCTGTATATTTATATATTTATTTATATATATATATATATATATATTTATATATATATTTACTTACGGGGTCCACCGGATTTCGGAGCCGTTGTAGGACGGGGCGGGCTCGGGGCGGGTGGTGGTGGGTGCC